GGAATTATATCGTATCGACCGAAATTAAGAAATATATCGTGATATAAATTTTGGCCATATCGTCCAGCCCTAACTTTTCATGAAACGATAACTCTATTAATAACATAATATGCACAACACTATTTACTCTTTTGTGTTTTTTATTCATTTCTATCGTTTTTTAATCATTTCTAATATTTTTTTAATAATTAGCATATTCATTACTATTATTATTGTATAATTATTTAATGTTTGTAAAAATGTGTTTATATTATATTTATATGTTTATATATTTTTTATTTTTTATATATTAATTTTTTCTCCTATTTTATTTTGTTTATTATTTTATTTACGCTTATATATTTTATTAAGTATAACCAATACAATAATGTATTGGGTAAAAGATACCTAAGATATAAATCATGTCAGCTAGCTCAACTAGCTTAACTAAATAGCTACCATAATAATAATAATAACAATAACAATTATTTATTAGTTATCTGTGTTGTTGTTGTTTTTTTCTTTTTTTCACATTTGATAGCATTCCCAGCATGGGCAACATTAAGCGGGGGCTTTGTCATGGAATCCCTGATGTCGGCCCCGCTGCAATTGGAGCGCTTAGCCAAGCAAATAAGAGATTCATTGTGCAGTTTAGGGAGCTTCATTGATTATAACGGAACTTTGTAAGATTGCGATGAACAAAGATGAGTGACGCTTTTTAGTGATAAAGGGAGCACGCTTTGCGCACTTTCTAGGGTATAATCCATTCAGAATTTGTATGAAACTTTCGTTTTTCACACGAGTTTACACATCTTATATATAAATATATATATTTTTTTTTATTTATTTATTTTTATTTTTATTTTTTTTTCTTGCCCACCCTGACTCAAGAGTCAAATGTCGCCAATGATTCCCAGTATCATCTCCACCCTAAATTCAACAGACCTGTGTTTGTGTGTATTAACAGGTTGACAGTGACACTATCTGGAATGAAGTTCACTCGTCCAGTGCTGCTCGTCTGGCTGTGGGATCTGTAGTGGATCTGGTGTTTAAGGTGGCTTCAGGAGAGCTGAGGGTAAGACTAACACTGTCATGTAAAAGTGAATTTTGCATCCAATGACCCCTTTAATGCTCATCCAATCAGAATTTAGACTCTGAATTATGCGTTTCACAGATGTGATTTCTATAGAAGCTTATTTCTGCCACAGAGTAATAATATAAAAAAGGTAATTGGGACTTATCTCATAATTCCGACTTTTTTCCTCACAATTCGGACTTATTTTCATTATTTTTTTTCTTGTGAGAAGAAAAGTCAAAATTATGACTTGTAAACTCATATTTCCAAGAAAAAAAGTCAAAATTGCAAGATGCAAACAGAATTCTTAAAAAAAAAAAAGTATTGCGAGATATACGTAAACTCAAAATTCCAAGAAAAAGTCAAAAATATGAGATGCAAAAACAGAATTAAAAAAAAAAAAAATAAAAATATCAATTGCAAGATTTAAGCTCAAAATTCCAAGAAAAAAAATCACAATTATGAGATGTAAACTCATAATTCCAAGAAAAAAAGTCCAAATACTGGGATGTAATTTATGAGAAGAAAAGTCAAAAATATGAGATGTAAAAATTGCGAGATATAAACATGCAATTATAAGATAAAAAGTAGCAATTATCCGCTTCATATTTTTATTCCATGGCAGGAATAAGCTTCCATAGATTTCCCCTCCACCTTGTTTGAATTGTAATGAGGTCAACTGTAGCCTCCCCAGTGTGTGTGTCTGGCTGGGGTCATCCTCAGAGCTCACAGGAAGTGACCCAAAAGACACAATCTACTCACATAATGCAAACATTCCGTAGCGTAACCTAACCCTGAGTGAGCTGCCGCCCACCCCAATAACATAACACTGAAATACATCTATCATCGCATTCAAAAACCCTTGCTTCAGCCTCAAGCTTGTCCAAAAAAACACAATACACCTACATCATCCACTATCACCAGCTGCAATCCAGACACATTTCATTCTCTGTTTCGCACTCTTTCTCTGGATATAATTATATCCTCTGGAGTGAGGAAGGATAATAATAACATGAAGCTGCAGGCGCCCCAGTGTGAACTGTGAGGGAACGCAGCATCATGCGTTAGCAGACTTAAAGTCCTCTCGCTAGCAGTAGCTATGGGACGGCATGTGGCAACATGGTTTCATCCACCTGGAAATGATGTTTTTGCAAATAAACCCGCATTCATCAGTGTACTGCTGTGTCCAGACCAAGCTCAATGCAACACATTCCAGTGTTTTCTGTTCTCACTGAAACTGAAATTTTGCATGAAATGACAAAATCACAGCTAATCAAAAAAAATAATATGAATGTACAGTCAGCCAAAATATGTTTAGTACAAAAAAAAAAAAAAAAAAACTAGGGGGATCATTGCA